CACGAAGGTACTAGAGAGGATATCTCCTCCCAGTCCTCATCTTTGTTGCTTCTGAAGAGAATCACACGGGCTAATCTTGCCTTCCCCTTCCCTGAAGCCAAACAGCTGTTAGTAGTCTAGGCGAAGGAGCCAGAGAGACGTTTAACATTTACTTGTTCTCTTAGCATTGAATTCCCTTTACAATGTATGACATCCATTAAACATGAGTGTGAGCATCCAATCAGCTGAAGACAAGTCAGAAAGACGGAAGCCTAAGGCAGCTGCAGCGTTAAGCAACCTTATCACGACACACTATCTCTGCACATCCATCACACAGGTAGGGGCATTGATTTAGGTACAGAAGAGAACTGAATCCTCGGTACACAGCAAGCTTAAAGTAAATAAGCTTCAGAGATTGCATGAACAGAAAGAAAAACCAAAAGAAAGACTAGCAATGAAGATCTAGAAGGAGGAAAGAAACAATTCCATGATAATGACAAGAAAGGAACATATCCAACAAAGCGATTCTAAGGTTAGAGAACACTTGAGCACTAAATCACCTCAGCAGTTTAACGAAGGACAGTGTAACTTATTAGGAGATCTCTAGAAACGGGACTGAATTCATAGTACCAGGTACTCTGGTTTTGTCCTTGCACATCTCCAGCGTAACACATGGCTCAAAGTGTTGCCGCTTGAGCCCACTTCCCATATTTATGATTTATTTAGATAAAAAGCACTACACGTACGGGAAACGTAATCAAACGCAGTGCCATTTGGTCACTTTTTACAGTAGGTGGCAGCTGCCACAGCAAAACATTACGTTGATAAACATATCCATCTACGACTACATGTGACTTGAAATTGACAGCGTAATAAAACACACCTGTATGCAAAACCAAAATTGAGATGGAAGAAGGTGACAACGTTAAACTCATGACATATCAAATAATCAGACGGTTTGTTTGGCTACGGGCTTTGCACCAACTGTTCTCAGCACATACTGCATCCATGCAAAAGATAGTATCTGTGGAAAAAGATAACAAAAGACCTGAAGTAAAACTACTTGAGAAGAACAGCTGGTTCTATGCTGGCAGCCAAGTTATTAACATACACCAGAGGGGCTTTGTTTGCCACTTCCCCCTCTAATGGGATTATGAGGGCAAAGACAGATTTAAATACTCATCTCAGTTTAACAAACATGTACAACAAGATCCAGGGATCCCTAAATCAAATCTCTTCTTAAAACCTTTTTTCAAAAGGAGGCTCGAAATAGTCAAACCCATGTTTTAAAAAAAAAAAAAAAAAGAGTCAGTCCATAGAGAAATAAAGTGATCCTATGTAGACTCTATCATTCTTTCTAAAATATATTCTACCTCTCTCTCAAATTCGAGAATAATGAATCCTGCCCATTTTGATAAGATCAGACAAGCCATATCACCACTACAGATATTTTAATACTGCTAGGAAATTTTGCTGTCACCTAGGTGTATATTACAAGCAGTGATAAGTAAATTAGCACATTCACTGGAAGGTAAGAGTAATTTAGGTAAGTTCTCGTTTTCTCCAGATTTCATTTGTGAATGTGATTTTACTAAAACTGGCAGAAATACTTGGCAGATTAAGACTACTCAGACATAGAAGCTTTATCTGCGTTTGTATGTTCTCGAATCAGCGATGTTATGATCGAAGCGATGAACATAGCTGCCTGCTCATCTTTACAGAAAACCTCTCCTGGACTGCAGAATGCTATTACAGTGCAGAGGTCCAGATAAAGACACGCTATAAATGCCTTGTTTTCACTTGGTTAAGGGACCGCTCTGTTTTTGGAGAGAAACCTGGAACACCAGCAGTCTTGATCCTCAGGCATGACACCCAGTCCTCTGGCTAAGAGCAAGTCACTTTCTTCCACCAACCTGTAGAGCTCCATTTAAGATGAACCCACCTAACAATCCAAAGGACAGTAACACCCACCACACCGGACCAGCACCTACAAGCTGTAGATAAAACAGAACCTGAATACTGGGAATAAGCACTCTCACTTATTTCAGAGGACAAGAGTAGAGGTCTGACCCACGCAAAGTTTCTAGCGGTCTTAATTATGCTTTTAACGGCAGAAAGACTTCTTAGGACAACACTTTTCAATTCTAATATATGCAAAAAAGGGAATTTTATATAAAGCACAAAATGCCATTGATTAATCAAGTCCTTAAAATGGGATATCTTAGTCATGTATTGCATTTTTTAAATCATTCTCCATGGGATGATTCTAACTTTTCCAGCCTACCAGGAATAGGCCATTTGATTTATAACCATGACGAATCAGTGTACTGACATCACACTGTAAGCTGTGGATAAAGAGCTCCAAGCTTAGTTCTTTAAAATAATGTAAAACACAACCAAAGAGTTCAGACTTATAACAAAGTGCTTTCTTCTCCCTTCTGTTTTCTGTGAAACAGGATGCCCAGATGATAGAATTAGCTGAACAACGTGCACCAGCATTTATGTTGGAAAATTAAACAAACCCCCTGGAGCCTGGTTCTTCCTTACAGTCCTTTCTCTGCAGTACAATGACTCAATAGTTTCCTTGCATTTTTGCCTGTAATTTTTCTAAAATGACAGAAATACCAATCCCCCACATTCCTAAAGATTATTACAGACACTGGAAGAGACGCTTGGGATCTGCTCCCTCTTATGTGGATTGCAAGAGGGAGGCAACGAAGCAACCAGTTCTGTAACCCTACATGATCAGTCCAGGCCCAGCACAGGGCCTGGATACTGCTATTTCCTGTATGGTAACGGTAGCATCGGTGACTGCACTGAAGGGCTTAATATGTAATACTTTAACAAGGACCCCTAAAGAAGCTTAACTTCTGGATATGTTATTTAATTTCATAATATCGGACCGGTATTACAGAGCTATGGCTTACAAATGAGCCAACAAAAACCCATATAGCCTGCAGCTGGGCATCACTCTGAAACAAGAACTCCCTTTGTTTGCACCGTGCATCACCTAGATTTTAAGCAACCCTTAACAGCTTTTCCCACCCCTTTAACATCTAGTAAACAGACTCCCCTCAAACCAATGAGCCCTCCTGACCTAAGGCCAAGAATAACCCCAAACTACCCTCCTCCCTCCAAGTAGTTGCCCCCTCTGCTGCAGTCCTCAGAAACCGTTAACTTTGGCTCTGAGGAAGCAAGGGATTCTGGAGCCACAGACAGTCCCCATCACAACCCTTTTCTCCCTCAAAAGGGCTTGCCAGCTGTCCTGTGCACCTGCAGGGTACAAGCGATGCCACAGCCAAGTTAAATGAATGGCTAGTTTCTACCAGGAGTAATCCAACCATCCCATTTTCACTCCCAGCCCTGCACTCCTATCATTCCCTTAAACATTGGTGTCCACCTGACCAGCAGTGAGATAACTGAATCAACAGAAAAATCAACCCTTAAAGTTTTCTGCCAATTCAGCTTGCCAGTCTGGTATTAGATAAGTGCTAGTGCAAGAAAAAGAAAGGGGAACATAGCCTGGAAAAAAGTAGGCCCATTCCTGTCAGTGACAGCTAGCTGTCAGACGCTTAGATGCATCTTAAAAATGTCTTCAGTGCACTAGGCCACTCTCTAGCAGATAGTTCACCTGCTGATTAAGAGCCACTCGTTCTTACTTAAGAGTCAGATTTCTGAGAATGTATCTCAGTATCTACGGTATAACTTGCTCCTTCAAAAGGAAATTATAGCATTAAGAGAAATTTGAACTTAAATTTTAATTTAAGGAACAAGTGATTCTCACTCTCGTAACAGAAGTGACACACTCAGTATTTACTGATAAGCCATTGAAGTAGTTGTAACATTTTCCCCACAGGGGTTTTATGCTAGAGAAGACTTGTTAGGTCTTGAACAGTGAGGAGGGAGAGAACAAGGTTATCAATAAGAATGAATACAGGTCCCAGAGCAGAAGTCCAGCTTCACTACCTCCTCCTTCATCAAAAGGAGTCCTGACCTAATTCCAGTCCCAATGTTTTGATCTAGAAGAACTAACAGCTTCCCTAATGCTAAGGGCCAGCTATGCAATATATACCCAGTGGATACTGGGCAGTAAACATCTCCAGTCCTACATTTGTAGGATACTGAGTTTTAGTAGTATACAGAGAACTTCAAGTATCTGATTGAGCAAGGGGCAGTTACTTGGAACCAGACTTATCTGAGAAGTTAGTTACTTGCTTGCAGAGTCCTAAAAGTTGTTTTGCAATCTGATGGATAAATATATGCAAACACCGTGAGTTCCACGGCTGAGGTAAAGACTCCTCTTTATTTGTGCTTAGCCACACGTTATTTAGCATCATTCAGTTTAAGCTTATTTCAGGAAGAAGTAAACCGCATTTTTGCTAGACAAAAGAGCTTTCAGTAGTAGGGGAAGAAAAAAAAAAAGGAGCATTAAAGATGTCTAGAAATAAGTCACACAGGAATAAATAAAGAGGTGTTAAAAAAAGGTTAGGACAGGTGTCCTAAGCTTTTGCAAATAACTTGACCACTAGAGCAATAGTTTACTTTCTCCTCCCAGAAGAGGTGGGAAAGCAAAGATAAAGAGAGAACGATGCAGGCACCCCTCAAACACTACCGTATGCCGTAAGGAGTTCTGGCTCTAAAGCGACTCTCCTGTCTGGGGGTGGGGAGGAAGCACGGAACAGGTTTTCCCAGTGAGATTCAGCCACAGAGACGCAGCGGCAGCGCGGCCCCCTCCGAGCTGTGACGCGCATCACACAACTCCCATCCTGCTCCAGCTCTGCAAGCAGGCAGGGTAAGGTTTGCCGGAGAAGGAGATGAAGACGATTAGGTGTTACTTCTCAACTTCAGACAGAGAGATCATCATTGTCATGGTGATTCATCAAACACTGTCACGGGGGGGGGGGGGGGGAATTAACCATCGCATCCAAAAGTATTCCTGTTTTCACAGGAAAGATAAGCTGCTGTTTTATCAGGAAAAAAAATCTGCGATAGTCTCTACTGAAATAAGCTTATGAAGGAGGTATCAGACAACACTAGCTTGTTTCCCCCTTCTTTTTGCCCTGAGAGGGGGTACAGTGCTGCTGCGCTGGCAAGTTGCTTCCCCTTCAGCTTCCCAGACAGCGATTAGGGGCTTGGCTCCTCCACTGCCCTTCTCCCCCCTCCCCTCCCTCGCCTCCATGCCAACCTGGCCAGAGCTG